TGCGCTTAGATTTTATTGTTTCTTTTGTTTAAAAAATGCTTTCAGAACAAGGAAGTAACGTGTTCATTTTTATTACAAAATGTCAAGTAGTTTAGGAGATAATGCAAAAAAAACAATTTTTATTTTGTAACTTCAAAGGGCTGTAACTTTTTTGTGTTCACTTTTGTACCAAGGTAAGTTGGATTCAATCAATTTATCCCCGGAATACGTGATTTAATCTATGACATACCTTTTTGAAACACCCTGTATATGTAACATATTTATTAAAATAAATAGAATATACCTACTTGTGTCACAAAAATGTTAGTAGGTAATATTTTTGTAGTTGCATTTTTTGTAACAACTTTTTATATTTTAAATAACTATGAATTTTTCAACTGAAGAATTGGTTAACATGACATTTGTAATGTTAATGGCTGGCTGGTTAATAATAGTTTAATTTATTGCCCTTGCTGAAAAATAGCAATAACTACAACAAGGGGGGAAACGAGCCTTTTCTTATTTAATATTTTTAACCACTTCGATTGCACTTAAGACCTATATAATTCGTCTGGAAAATCTTTATAGCATAATAAAAAACCTCCAAAGGAAAGTAGAGAAACACTCGATGTTTTTAGCAACTTTTAAATATTTTAAATTTTTATTAACGTTCCTGACCTATTTGGAAGTAAGGATAAGTTAATTATGAAGTTATCACCTAACTATTTCTACAAAAATCCGAATGCCACCTCTCACATTCCAATTTACTCGTTTTTTCACAGATCCGCTCTGGTCTAATAGTTAGAGATATCCGCACAGAAGACATCTATCAAAAAGAACCTTCAAAAAACTTTTAAACCGCTTTGTTCCTTCGGGAAATGTGGAGTATTTAAAACTATTCAACAAGGCTTAGCGAATGAAAATGAATTTCTAGTGATGGTACATGTAATAGAGAATCCACAAGTAGGTAAGTACGCGCCAATTAAGCAATCACACAGAGTTAAATGCAACGACAGTTTGAAGAATTATAAAGAAAAACATATTTTGGCTTGCTAGAGGATGTTTCCTTGGAAATTAGACGAAATATGTTTCAAAATCCTGCAGGATTTGGAAAACTTAGTTGGATACTTAAGAACCCCAAAATACCCCAATACTTGAGAAGCAAAGTGTTCAACCAATGCATCCTTCCTATCATAACATATGGATGTCAAACCTGGACCCTAACCAAAGCAAACATGAATAAACTAGCCTCAACAGAAAAAACAATGGAAAGAGCAATGTTAGGTATATGACTGTCAAATAAAAAGAGGAACGACTGGGTAAGATCCAAAACAAAAGTCGAGGACATAACAATAAAAATTGCAAAACTTGAAGGAAGTTTCGCGGGCCACACTGCTAGACAGAAAGACCAACGTTGGAATACTACAATACAACATTGGAAACCTTACGAAAGTAAACGACCAAGAGGAAGACCACAGATGACATGGGTTGATGACATTAGGAATAGCCGGAACAAATTGGAAATATGTTGCTCAGAATAGAGACCGATGGAAGGAGTTGGGAGAGGCCAAGGAGTTGTCCAAGTTGTCCAAGGAGTTGTCCAAACATGGACGACAGAAGGCTAAGAAGAAGAAGAAGATGTTTCAAAATGACGGGGCACCATCGCATCCTACAAAAAGTGTTAGACGTGTGCTAAATAATAACTACAGCAACAGTTGAATTGGATACGGTGGTACTTTTAGAATGGACCCCAAGATGTCCATGACTTACTCCACTGAACTATTTTTTTGAGGTACATCAAGAATGTAATGTACGACGACGAGCCCACAACGCTTGATAATATAAAAATTTGTATACAAAATGCCTTTGCCAGCGTTGGATCTGATATGCTACAAGACGTTCAACAGTCCCTTATTAACCGTATACGACTGTGTCTTAAACATAATGGCAATATTTTGAACATTTATTAGCATAGTTAACAATGTATTTAAAAATATAGGTTATTAGCTAGGTAAATATTATTTTGAACTAATTTTTACTAGCATTTTACTAACATTTTACTGCATCGGAAAAGTGTTAATGTTTCGAAAATTATTAACTTTAGACCTATAAAACCTTTCACACACACAGATGTGATCAACCCTGCCCCTAAGGAACATGTGTATATCAAACCAGTCACACTTCGCTATTGAAGTGGTACCTATCTGACACACAGGCTTTTCTTCCACCCCTCCCCACCGTGTGACTTACGTGAGGAGGCTTATGACCTGAAAGTTACTTTGGGTGCCTTGGATAATAGGACACTCTCTGTTTTTATTGACTTTGATTAAGCCACCTAACTGTAGGGGTAGCACACATATCGGCTTTTCTGCCTATTCACTTTACTGACTATAGAATTTACTCTAACTTGGCAATCGGGACTGGTGTCCATAGAATAGAAAAAGTGTGTGTTCCGTACAGACAGCCACCAGCCTGGGCTGATGACTCTGTCTGAAAACCGTGTGTGCTCGTACGTTCAGCCGACGATTTGGCAAAATAAATGTTGTTCTCCTCGCCGTCTGAGCATCCGAGTAGGGTCCGGCCACCGGGCCCATGTATGCCGCACATGACCTCGGTGCTCGGAATTCTCGATAGGATCAGCATACGATCTGCCTGACGGGCCTATGCCTGACGGGCCTTTTATACATTTTAGTAGGGTTTTTTAAATTTTGGACGAAACAGCATATGACATTCGATGTTCTGTAGAAGACATGGTTTTGTTTAGACAGTGAGCGGTTTTTTGTTTTTTATCTTAATTACTACTACTAAACTAACTTAGCTATGGAGTGTGCATTCCCAATTGTATGTTGCTCTCACACACTCCGTGTATATGTTTGTTTTTGGGTTTTTTATTTTTTACTACATCTAAACTACTACTACGTGTGCGTGTGTTGGGGTGTGCATTCCCTGGTGTATATTTTCCTCACACACTCCGGTGTATATTGGTCTTATATACTATCGTTTTAGTCTCGCCAGACTGTGCCCAAACTACTGCAGCCATCCAAACTCATCCAACCTACCATCTCTTGATTGGTTGCAGCAGTTCGGTTCCATTTTTTATGCTTACTGTCTAAAATCGTTGATTTGACTCCTCTGTGACTATCTCATTTCTTCATTTTTATTCTTCTTCCCTATATCCAGTTAATTGTTGTTTCGGTCGTCTGTGCACTGTTCTTGTATTGATGTCGTAGTGGAGTGATAATATCCTGTTGGGGTGATTTCTGAGTCCGTTGAAGATGTTGTAGGCTCTTTCATCCATAGTCCTTAGGATACTTTTCTGGCCAGAGTCTCTAAATACATATCTTTTTGGTATTTTGGTATATTTAATGCCTTTCTAATTAGTCAATGTTGGGCTATTTGGACTTTCTTTCTATTGCTTTTGCATGTGTGTCCCGATGCGGCAGATGCATATGTTAGTGAGGGTAGTATTATGCTGTTAGCTACTTCAATTTTTGTTTTGAAACGAAGTTTGCTCTTTCTGCCTATTAGCGAAGATAGTTGACATCTTAGGGCTTTTGCTTTGAAGACTGCTTGCTTTACATGCTCTGTGAAAGTAAGCTTTCTATCTAGTATTACTCCGAGATATTTTGCCTCGTTTGTTTATTCTACAGGGGTGTTGGCAATGGTGATCCTGTCTGGTCTACTTCTCCGGTGTCTGTACATGACAGCCTGTGTCTTTTCGAGGTTGAGGGCGATTTTCCACTTAATACACCATCTTTGGAATCTATTCAGAGCACTTTATAGGTGGCTAGCAGCTAGGTTACAATCTCTACTGCTAGCTGCTATGGCTGTGTCGTCCGCGTACAGACTCGGGTCTGTTGGAGTATCAGCTGTGTATATATCCTCCGATTGGTGTGCAAGCATATTTGTCCAATGCTACTTATTACTGCCATCACTTGTATCATTTTCTCCAGCATCATGGAGAATTAGGTCATCTTTGCATTAAAATCCGAGTTGAAGCTCGCGATTAATGCTGCGGCTTCGTTTGTGGCTGCAGGATTTTCGTTTGCAAGCTTTTTGGTGGCCTGCGCGTAGCTAACACCTTTGTTGGTGGTTTGCTATTTATCGGTCTGCCCTTTCGTTGTTGTATTGGGGCAGTTTTCTTTTTAGGTGCCTTTGAGCATCCTCTGTAATTGGTTGTATGTGCTTCTCCGCAGTTTGCACATTTTGGTTCGGTTTCCTTGTCTTTGCCGTATTCGCTACTAATGTGGCTTTCTTCGCACTTGACACATTTCGCGCCATAATGACAGGCTTTTGAGCTGTGATAAAATCCCTCGCAATTGTAGCATTGGATGGCCTCCTTTTTGTTTTTTATTTCGTCTTCTACATGAATTCTTATATAATGAAGATCTTAAGTGTTTTTGATTTTGCTGTCTTTTCTTTGATGTTACCATGAACAGAGGAAGTGGTTTTTTATCCTCCTTTCTGGAAATCATGTTGATTACCTAAGTAGCTTCAACTCCCTTGTTGGCTAGTTCATTCATGATAGTTGTTGTGTCTGTGTTACGTTATGGATGTGATTTTCTTAGATAATCATCTCTTGTTTTAGGATGAATGGCTATTGAAAGCCCGGACTTTGCAAATTTATTTACTGAGACGATTTTTTTGTCTGAACTTTTTGCAATATTTTCTGGTGTTCGCTCACCGATTTCAGTATGATCGCCGGTGGTTTTGGCGATCCTTTTGCTGTTTGTTCTGCCTGCTTTGTTTTCTCAGCAGTTTTTCGCTTTGCGTTGTTTGATGGTTTTGTCCATCTCCTTTTTCCCGTTATAAAACCTTTTACAAACTGTTTATATTTAAAAAAAAATATTTAAAAATATTGAATAAATTAGGGTGTTATTATATTTAAAATAACAAAACTTTGGTTCATTCTGTTCTTCCGACTTACCTGCATAATCGAAAATAATTTGAAAATATAGACGTCTTTGATATACAGTTTCGTTATAAACCTTTTTTGTACCAAAATATCAAAAAATACTTACAGGAAGTTTTCTGATCATTATTTTTATCACAAATTGCTTGAAGATCTTTGTTAAACACCAGACAGGAATGTAGATCATACGGTCTGTAATAGGGCCCTGGAGGAGATCTGGGACAATTTTGTTGTATTGGCTCTTTTAAAACGAAAGGATCTACTAAAATGTAGAAAATAAAATATTTTAATAGTTTCATTATAAACATTTAATGTGATTTTAAACAAAAAAGATTACTTAATAATCCAAGGATAAAAGTTATTTGCATAAAATAAAAATATTGAATTGGCTTTTTTTGGTAGATATTACAAAATATGCATACACTTTTTTTTTAATTCGTATGTGTTAACTCCCTTTGTGGCTCAGTGGTAAGAGCGCCTACCTTTGAACCTAAAGGTCGTGAATTCGAATCTCATCTAGGTGGAGAAATTTTCGTTTATTAAAAATTAATAAATGAAAATAATTTCTATCCTTGTGCGATCGGGACTCACCGGAGGGACCGCAGACGTTCGGATACAATTAGCGTCTCTTAGCAAAGACAATACGTCGACTTTGCTACGTATCAAGACAACTCTACACACACACACACACACACACACACTACACTAGGTCCCTGACTGTAAAAATTCACTGTACCATGTCAATGACCATTAGTTGTCGACGCATTAAACTCAATAAAAAAAAATCGTGTGTGCAAATGCTAAAAAATAAAACTAGTGCTATTTGATCTCATAAAATAACGAAATATTAATATTAAGGTACACCGAACTCATAACGGCCCAGTTAAGGAATATTTGACTTTAGACCTAGATATTAGGGAAACGAAATAATAGAGAAAATGGATTTATATTATCTATATTTAATAGCTTGATGTTCTCTTTATCAAAATAATTAATAAAAAATGAAAAATGTGTTTTTTATTCGCTAAAAAAATTATTTTCATTAAAATGCAAAAAACTTTAATTCCGGCCTATATCGAAACATCAGCGATAATTCCGGCCTTATGGTGATCTAATTCCGGCCTGTTTATCAAAAGAATTTTCTTGGGATTTTTTGTTTTAAACTGTATACATAATTTTTTGTAAATTTTTATTTTAATATTTTCAAAGTAGGTATAAAAAATACAGAAGTATAAAAACTTCATTCCGAAGCATTTTTATATAGAAGATTCATAGAAAAACTAAATAAAATAAAATGATCTACAGACGTGATACACTTTGAACCTAAATTAAATATTAAAAAAAGCAAAAAAAAATACTTTCATGTTACTTGGCAACAGTATTTTTTTTTCATTTATTATATAAGAGCAAAGAGCTATGAAATACATACAAATTATTTATCTAAGGCACCGAAAAAAATCGCTTTTATTAATGGGCTGAGGTGGTGCAATAAACAAACAATTTCCTCTAGATCATACCAAATAATATCATCTATCTGTGGCCATCTCCAATGATCCTATTTTTTCCAAGCTTTGATTTTGAGTTTATCTTCTGTTATTTCTTCTACTACTCCTGGAAAATGTTTCTCTTCATAATTACAATAACGTAGTCACCTAGTTCGTAGTCGCCTATCTATAAATTTCCAGAATTGTTAGTGTTAGGCTTTCTAGTTCTTTCACCTGTTTTTCTGTCAGAACCACAATGGAAATTTCATTTTCTTTTTTATCTGAGATATTTTTCGGGGGAAATAAAATGCATTTTTAAATGGCGTTGGAAATTTTGGTGGAGTAACAAAATAGAATTCAGCAGAATTTATGGGAGATTGATTTTGTGTCAGATTTACTGTAGTTGTTTTTGATGGTTAGTTAAGAGGTGAGTGAGGTATTAAACAATTTTTCAAAATCAGGAGTTGAGGAAGGAACGTCATTTTCTTTTAAAAGGGAATCTGTGTCATCAATGTTTTCTCTAGTAGCTGCCAAATTTTAATTTTTTTCAAAATTGTTGGAAGTTGATGGGTAACTTTTAGCAGGAGATGGATCCTCTCCCATATATATTCTCAGAATAACATAAATTTTAATATTTAATTTAAGATAGAATAACGATTTATCCGGGATGTTTTCTTTATTGATAACTGCATCTTCTACGTGCTAGGTGTTTGTTTTAAAATTCAACAGATGTGTTGAATCTTCCAACACATCTGTGATGCCATTTTGACTAAAATAATCATATTTTTTCTTGAACCAGTTTCTTATCGTTTCCTCTGTAGCGGAGGAACGGCTAGCTGCCAGATTTTGCGATATACGAGATCTTATTTCCGGATGCTTGGCTAGGATGTGTTAATACCACCTATTTTTGGTGATTAGGTACTTAAATGGATTGGTTTCTTTAAGATTTTTGATGAGCATTGCTACGAGCGTTAATATGCTTATCGTGTATCACGAGGAAAACCCGCGGCAACCAAAAAATATTATTTTACGATTAGTTTTTCTTCATCACTAGTCACTTAAAACTGGTTGTCTTCCAATAAGGTGTTGTTCCGTGCACGTACTTTTGCATTCTTTTATCTTTCAATGTACTTTTTGGTATACCATACACCTTTAATGCTTTATAGGCAGACATGCCACTATTCATGTCATTTAGGGTACGATCAAGTAGCTCTTGTGAATATTTTTTTCTTTGCATTGGCCTAGGCTCTTTAGTTCTGACCATAATTCTAGAAAAAAAAATGAAATGTGAATAACTGAGTTTTTTTTTGTAGATACCATGTCAGGCTAAATTTGGGTCAGGGCGAAATTAGAGCACATGCGAAATATAACAAAATCTAATACCACTCAGACTAAATAACTACCTGACTTTCATAGTTGTAAACTTCCTTTTTTGTTTTTATAGAAAAAAAAAGTATGGGACGGAATTTGATAGTACGTTTTTGGTAATATTTTTTACAAATATATACTTACTACTTTTTTTTTAATAATTTTTGATATTGAAGAACACAAAGTTAAATTAAAAAAAATACCAATATTCGTAATTACGGCCATTGGACCGGAATTAGATTAGATACTAAAATTGTGCCCTAATACCGACCTAATCTATTTTTGTAAATTCTACTTTGTTTTGGCCCAAAAACTAAAGTTTTTAATAAAGAATAAAACTATTAACCATTTTTAATAAATAAACTACTGCATATAGGTGAAAAAAATATTTTCTGTAATAATTCTCAAGTAAATGTTGTAACCAATGAATTTTTCAATGCTTACTTGAAACGCTAAGGATTGACGACCGCTTTAGAACGGATTGAGTCGCTTGAATAAATCGAACTGATTAAAACAAAAGCTAGAATATGTCACCTCACCATTTAAACACACTAAAATGGCTAATAAATTTCTAGTATTTAAGTTTAATCAACTTAAACGTATTTACAAAAGAATTTAAATTTTTTTGAATAGACCGGTTTACATCACGAATTTGTATAGGCCGTTAATAGGTAGTTTTATCTTAATCACTATATTGTGAACCTCTATTAATTAATAATTTAGTATTCGAATCTTCGAAATAGAAGTCTTCGAAATAATAATGTAATATAATTCTTTCTTATTAGAATTACAATATTTATTTGGAATCTTTATCTTCTTCTTCTTAACATGCCATACACCAAAGTGCGTAGGCGACTATCTCATTACTAGAATTCTGTTCTTGGCGGCGTGACACAGCTCACCTGTATTGTGTATTCCTGTCCATTCTTTAATATTCCTTAACCAGAATAATTGTTTGCGGCCGGCTCCTCTCCTACCTTCGATCTTCCCTTGTAGGATTAACTGTGGTATTTCATATTTTGCTCCACTCAATATGTGCCCAAGGTAACCAATCTTTCGTTTTTTAATTAATTCAGAGTTCTCTTTCCACGCCGGCTCTATTAAGGACGTCATCGTTTCGAACTCTATCCACCCAAGGTATGCGCATCATTCTTCTCAATGACCACATTTCAAATGCTTCAAGTTTGTTGATAGATGTTTTTTTCAAAGTCCACGTTTCCATACCAAAAAGCAAGATGGACCATATGTAGCACTTGACCATTCTGTAGCGTATTTCGAAGTTTAGGTGTTGATTACATAGGAGCGGTCTGAATTTCACAAAAGCTTGTCTTGCCATTTGTATTCGGGTTTTTATCTCGTGTTGTGGATCCGATTGGTCATTGATTGTGGTGCCAAGGTATTTAAAAGTTTTCACGCGATTTATACGATTGTCACCTATGCATATTATCGGGTTTTCTGGAGGGTTTCTGCTAATGACCACATATTTCGTTTTCAAAATGTTGATTTTGAGGCCATATTTTTTACCTATGCTATTCACCCTATCAAGTAATAACTGCTGATCTTCCAAATTATCAGTTATAATCACTGTGTCGTCCGCATAGCGTAGGTTGCTAATTGGTATGCCGTTTACCTTAATGCCTAATTCCGTATCTTCTAATGCTTCCGCAAATATATTTTCAACATATAAATTAAAAAGCATCGGAGAGGAGTATGCAGCCTTGGCGGACACCTTTCCGGATTTCAAATTCATCCGTATATTGGTCTCGATCAATCCTCACCTTTGCCTTTGCCTTTGCCTTTGGAATCTTTATAATCTGGTTAAAATGTAATATCATGATGATAGTGCGAACAATTTTCCTTAATATTTTTTGTACCTAACGGTATCCACCGTTATGTATGCTCTTTTCTTTTCTTAGATCATCATCATCATTCTAACTTTACAATCCTACGAGGGTAGATCTCCTGAAGAATTTATCCCCAGTCCCTATCCACTGCCTTTCTCTGCCAGGCACGTATTCTCATATTTCTCATGTCTTCATCGATGTTATCAAGGAACCTTGTTCTGAGTCTTCTTCCTCTTCTTCTCTTATTACTGAGTCTATCAATAAGCGTTTTTCTAGCTGGAGTCTTATCCACACTCCGTTGTCATCCACTGCTCTATAAATTCGTCTTAGTAAGTTTTTTTTCGAAACATCCTAACATGTTTTTATTACTTTTTGTAAGAGTTCAGGTCTCTGAACCATATATTAGGACTGGGTGTATTATTGTTTTGTAGAATTTTATTTTTATATTTCTCGATATAATTATGGATTTAAGGAGGAGATTAAACCTAAAATAGCATCTGTTTGCCGTGCAAAGTCTGCGTATTAAATCTGCGGTGGTAATATTTTCAGTGAAAGCAAGGAGCGCT